GGGGGGATGGGGGGAAGGCGATGTATTCTATGTAAAGTGCTCACACCGATATACATATACACACATAGTAGAAGCAGAGTTTAGGCTATTTCAATATTTGTAATAGCGGGTGAACGGCAAAAGGGTGCGTTATTGTATATAAAAATAAGGTATACAATGAAATTTAAATTCAAACGGCATGTATGTAATGTTTCTTTGCATTCCACTGGATCTCTGAGTACAACCGAGGAAGTATTCCGGAACGCTGCTCTTCGAACGGATCGCAATTATCCTCGTATTAACAGTCTCTCTCTCTCTCTCTCTCTCTCTTGTCGCGTTACATCGCAGACCGCGTATCGCTACAAGACAAATGTTTACATAGCGGGCCTGTTCCGTCAAACTAACACAGAACTGCTGTGCATGCGAATTATCTCTCTCGGAATGTATTTTGAAAAATAATCATTTACTGCCGAATGTAGTCCCAGCCGCGCAACTGGGACAACGTCTTTTAATGAGTTGGATAATATGCGATCGCAGCAGCGTTCTCACACATAGCGACATACACACACACGTATATACATATATAGAATCTCGAAGTATATACTTAACGATTGAGAAAAACAACAATAAAGTGTATAATTTAATTCTGTCATCTGCACAAAGAGAACGTATATTGTCTATGTTACGTTGGAAGGTAGTCTAAGGTAGTTTTATCTTCGATTCACCGCGACAGTGATTAGTCACGCGAATGCGTACAAATAGTATTTGTACTCGATGTATTGGACACACACGAGGGAGGACGAAAGGGAGAGCTGGACAGTGCACGATATTTATTCCCTATTTTTCTCGATCCGGAAGGTCCGATCAAAGATGGTACATGTCGCGTTGGGACGAATGTAACTTTTAACGAGACCACTTCTATTCCACGCCGCAGACCGTTTCGCTTTAGATATGAGTTACACTATGCGTGGGATCACTATATACTTGTTATACACTATATACTTGATATATACTGTACGATTGATAGTTAAATAGATAAGCTCTAGCTGTTCCTCCGATACGATGCGAGAAGAAAGTAAAGGAAGAATCACAAGTAGATAAAAAGGACGGAAAGAAAGGGAGAGAGAAAGAGAGAGAGAGAGAGAGAGAGAGAGAGAGAGAGAGAGAGAGGCAAGTTTCGATATATATATATATATATATATAAATCGCTGCCAAAGGGCTAATAGTGAAATACTGTTGTGTATGTGTATATATGTATATATGCACGTGTATATGCGTTCCTCTTTCTTTTTGCATACATACGTATATACGTACGTGTATGTGTGTGCGCGCGTATGTGTATGTCTCTCGATTAGTCACGTATAGTCAAGAGTTAATAAAACTGAAAGAGCCATAGCATGTATGAGATTTATTTTGACTTCTCTCTAGTATAAAGATATGAAGATATATAAAAATATATCTTTGTATATATATACACACGATATATTAAAAAAAAATATATATATATTTCACAATCAATAGTAGATAATATTAACTAGATAAACGATGCATATACGTAAAAATATATTTTACTGGGACACTAAAAAATGAAAGCAGATACCAATGATTATCTTACACGAGTTGTGCCACCTCAATTGAGGCCGTATTCTTTGATAAGATTTCCAGCGATTACGAGCCTCTGTATCTCCGACGTACCCTCGTAAATCTCTGTAATCCGTGCGTCTCTGTAGTGACGTTCTGCCGGCATGTCCGACACGTATCCCATTCCTCCCAGAATCTGTATGCACTGATGAGCGCAGAACGTGGCGGTTTCCGACGCTGACAGCTTGGCCATTGCGGCTTCCTGAAGAATACAAAGTAAAACTTCATCCACTCGTTCGACTGTTCCCTTAGGAAGCATCGGTTTCATTTTATTCTGGTACACAGTAGTTACATTCTCGGCGAGTATGCGAGCTTGACGACTTATCTTATCCGCGATAAAATAAATAAACGTCGTGGTCGTAGTCTATTGAGATAAACTAAGCATGTGCACTTGTGTGTGTGTATGCATGTGCGCGCGCGCGCGTGTGTGTGTGTAAGATAAATATAAATGAGATATATATATATATATATATATATATATATATATATTCTGATACATGACGGGAAATAATGATTAATTATCATAATCTTATTTTTTCAAACGCACCTTCGTATACGATTTATCGGTGTCCTTTAGTTGAGCCGCCCTCCACGTTAAGAGCCTCGAGCTCTCCAGCCTCAGAGCCATGTCGGCGATCTTTTGTTTAATCATGTCCAGCTTGATGATAGGTAAGCCAAAGGCTTGACGTTTAGATGCGTACTCCATCGCGCAGTCCAGAGACGCCTGTGCTATGCCCAAAGCTTGCCCGGCGATACCTATTCTGCCACTGTCTGCAAACCAGATAGCCAAGTGACACCGGACGATAGTATATTGACAGCATATTGAAGACAATATGACATCTATGTCATCAATACACCGTCTTATGATGTTATTTGCCTATCTAGGAAGTATACAGGTTATATACAAAATGATTATTATGATATTGACGGTTAACAGTTGCATTGTTATTGCGAACCTAGAGTCATCATTGCAATGTTAAATCCCATTCCTGGTTCACCCAAGATGTTATCTCTCGACACTTCACAATCCTCAAATATCAAGGAACAAGTGCTGCTGCCTCGTATGCCCAGTTTATCCTCCTTTTTGCCCAAGGCCAGACCTGTTGTTGGACTGTTCACTATAAAGGCGCTTATACCTTTATGCTTCTTAGATTTGTCAGTCGTCGCGAAGAGGACTATCGCTCCAGCTTCGAACGCGTTTGTAATCCACGACTTGGTACCGTTAATTACAAAAGTGTCACCATTTGCTTTTGCCATGGTAGATGCGGCTCCCGCGTCAGATCCATTGCCTGGCTCGCTGAGAGCAAAGCAACCGACCTTTTCACCGCTCACGAAGGGTGAAATGTATTTTTCTTTTTGCTTGCTGTTACCAAATTTGTCCACCGGTCCCAAGTAAAGTGAGTTGTGCGCACTCATTATAACTCCAGCAGTTGCACAACCTCTGGATATCTCTTCCATGGCAATAGCATAAGCTAGAGTATCCAGTCCTGTGCCACCTAATGCTTCAGGTATGCACAGACTCATGAGACCTAGTTCACCCATCTTCTTGACTTGTTCCTTTGGATACAGGTGTTTTTTATCAATTTCAGCTGCAATAGGCTTCAATTCTCCTTCGGCAAAATCTCTATAATTATAAGTTAATTCGGTACAACGATTGTAGTTGCGATAAACTTATCTATAAGATTAATTATTGTTTATCTTTACGAAAGCTACCTATTTGTGTCTTATGAATTGTTTAATAATGCAACTCATGCAAAATCATTATTTATATCAACTTGATTTGATGAATGCACAAGTTGTACAGATAAGTTTTTTGTCTAGGTGATAAAGCTGAAATAAAAAAAGTATTACCTGCATGTTTTGTGTAGCATTTGATGTGTTTCTGGTAGCATGGAAAGGGAAGCGATATTTCTTTTAACATTGTATCCTTTGGACACAATGCGAGGATTTACTGATAAAACAATAATAATTTACAATTATTACAGGTATTTGGAATAATTTCATAATTCATTATTGTATTCACAATAACATCAAAGAGAAAAATAATTAATACTCACCAAATAATCTGAAGTACTGCATTGCCATTTTTTTGTTAATTGGTGTTCAATTTATGATATTAATAATACAACATCATTAAAATAACTGTCCTAGTTAACAATTAGGGGCCAACTACATTAACACATAGATATAAGGTCTGTTCGTTTTTGCTGAACCGCTAAACTAGTGCAAAAGTTGAAGCGAGACAAGTATATGTTTTTTCAACTTATTGCACTAGTTCGGAGGTGCAGCGAAAACGAACAGACCTGATAATTCATCCACAGATGGCGCCGAATCACGTGATTTAGCTAGCCAATCGGACGGTTTTCTTCAATGTGCTTCCATAGGCATATATACATAGAGATATAAGAATAGAGGGAACAAGCCTGTAAGTGGAAGTGAT